TAACCAAAAAAAAAAAAAAGAAATGAATGAAACTACTTATAACTAATTAAACATTTTTTTTGGGGACCTTTAATTCATTACAGAGAACTTCTAAATTATGTCAAACCGAAAATACATTTTATATAAGTTCGATTTTTCTTCTATTCTTGACGCGGCCGGGCGAGCCAGAGGGAGCTGAGGACTCGGAGGCGGTGGAAATACTCGGCCACCGCCAGAAAACACCGCGCCGCCTGGCGGGTGGTCAAGATTTGGTGTAGCCGGTGCAGGGTTTGATGCCTCAGATTATCTGCCTGTGTACACATATAAACACTCAAATTAATAAATGGGAAAGTAAAAGAAATATTATCTATTAGGATTCCACCAGTCAAGATACATGCATGTTGACTTATATGGGGATTTGATTAAATCAATATTACTATATACTAATGTTTTTTTATTTAATTTTAGTTATTAATATTTTCTGCGTTGACATGGTTAAATGATTAGATGGAATATAATAGTAGGCCAGCAGCTGAGACATTGGATATTTTATATGTACGAGTGATATAATATGTACAATATTAGATACGTATAAAATAATTCAATTAATTTATATAATTACACAGCAGTTCGTTTTCAATCAAGAGGTTGGATGTAATTTGTTTCTAATCATTGGAATTCTGCAAAAATAAGAAAATAATTAAGATGGATTGAGAATCATCAACCAAATGGTAAATGAAAGTTAACTATATATGGAAAATTAAATAGATTAAAATTGAGAAATTAATATTTGCTAACAGTTACTCTTAATTAATGGTTCCGAAGGTATACTTTTTTTTTTCAATAAATATATATGACATTTTATAACATAAATATATATTTTTGTTGATAAAAAAAAGTATAACGAGTCGAGCCGATGCCTAATCACTATATACCAATGCTAATTAGAATCTAAATGACCTAAATATAATTGCATGGACTTAATGATGATTAATGTAGTGAGGTTGGATTACTTGTGTATAACTATATGAAGTGTAGTTCAAAGCGGTTAGGACAATGACGTCATGCACATGATGAACCATGGCTCGAATTTGGAAACATAAATATTACCCCCACCAAACCAAACCTTACATATAAAGCACACAAATATGATACCTTCTGTACTTTAAGACCAAAATAAATTTGAGGCATAACTAATTACCTGTCGAACGAAACCTTCAAGGGTCGAGAGCTTATTGATGGCGATGGCCATTTGAGACATGTAGTTGTTCATGTTTGGTGCAATGCTTAGTGAGTCTGAAGTTATAGTTTCGGAGATCGATTGGTTGAGGGAATCGAGCCCTTGTGTTAGAGCCTCTTCTGCCTCGTGAGTCGACTGTTGCAGCCCACATATGGCCATCAATTGTTGCTCAGTTAATGGCTCAACTTGGTTTAGTATAATCTGCAGTTTGATCATGGTCGGCGAATCGATTTAGTGTTATTAGTTTACATATCTTTAATTAACTTCTTCATTAATTCTGGATTTCTTGATGTAAGCAAACTTCATTTATTCATTTACTTTTTATGAAATATCAAAAGGAAGGGTGAAATATTGAATAAAAGGAAAGGCATGAATAAGGCGTGCAAGTTTGATAATGATGAAAACACAACACATAGTAAGTCCTCCAAAATGAGTAGTAACAGACAGTGGCTTTATGGACTGCTTGGGAATGGAACCCATAAGCAGTCTATATAACTGGCAAAAAGCCCATGAAGCCGATTAATTTCGTCATCGTCTGTTTCTAACCGATCACACACATTGTACATGAAGTAATCTTTTGATAATAACCATGGATTACTTGTGTTTATGCAGCTTTTTTAAGAGTGTGTTTCGTAAGCAGTATAAGCTATATTTATAATTTATTTAGTTAGCATTTATAAGTTTTTCTGTATTCAAATAAGTTATAGTTTGGTAGAACGTGTATTTTAAGAACGATCGAGCTAGCTAAATTTTCTTAATTTGAAATAATAAGGAAAAAAATGAAAAGAAAATTACAAATTAGGCATTAATTCATATCACCTAGGGTTTTTCTTCTGCATGAATACTACTTTTCTCTATTGATCACCTCTTAATAAAAAAACCATTTTTTTGAGGACATTTTTCTCATTGTGGAATGATTAACATAATTACTTAACCAGATTATTAACAAGGTTGACAAGTACAATTATTACAATATGATATTGATACAATATAATATAACATAAATTATATATACATACAAACCTTGATGAGTTCCGATGGCCGGAAATCGCCCATCCACATGTAACAGCGCTCGGCCGGTGTCTTCCACGATCCGGACACGAGGTGGAAAACATCGGATTTCGCGATCATGCTCTTGAGGCTTATCATCTGATCATAGTGCGCCAAACAGTTGTCCACGAAAACACGGAGCTCATTTTCCGGCAGGTGGTCGTTCACTGCGTTCCGCACCTCCACCATAAGGCGGTGGTGCTCCTCCAGCCACCGAGCGTACTCCATGTCAAACACCGCCGCATCTGGTTAATTATTTAATTCAAATTGTTCAATTTATTAGTATAATTAATCAGCTCAATATGATCAAAATGATTAGTCAAAAAGTTTCAATGTTTATTTAATTAGTCAAAATATTCACCTGAGCTTGTGTTGGACATGGAAACAGAAGGGCCCTGATCTCCTGCTACAGTGGCATTGCCACCTAAGTAGAATCCCTAGCAAGAGGACATAATAATTGAAGTTAATTATATATGATTATCAATCATTGATATTAATTAATTAATTATGATTTTTTATTAATATTATTAATTAATTATTAGGTAAGTCTTCTGTTATATACAGCCTAATAATAATAATTAAGCAGCTGTACCCATTCAACAAAAATATACATACTTTAAAAAACAAAATGCAAACAAAAGTATGACTTATGTTATTAATTGGTTAATTATTTGGCAGCGAAGTGGATAAACAAGATTATTTCTTAATTACTAATTAATAAATTAATTAATATCTCACTTGGGATCTTGCTCTTTGTATTTCTTGCTCCAACTGTGTGAGCCTGACCCTACTTGACTCTAGCTGCTGGACATAAGCCTGCCCATGAATTAACAATGAAATTGTAATTAATCTGATTAATTAGAGAGAAAAAAATTAATTAATGAATAATTATGTAAATGATTGATTAATTAATCATTTTAATTTCTTAATTTGAGGCTTGCCTTTTTCCTAAGCCTGCTTTTCCTAGCTGCTTCTCTATTTTGAGCAAGCCTTCTGAGTGTCTGTAGACGATTACGAATAATATTTACGCGCGTGTTTTTCTGAATGTAAAAAAATGGTCACGCGGTGAATTTAATTTGAAAAGGTAAAAAATGCAATTACCTTTGGATCCGGTGTTTTTGGTCCATCATGCTCCGAGCTTGAGGTGGGCCCTCTCGGGTTTCCTTCGCGCTGCCGAAAAAAAAAAAATCGAATAAAATAATAACATGATTTATTTTTTTTTAATGTACAAAATCTCAGTTCAAAGGAGAATAATTAATCTTGAGTTTAATCTATATTATTATTATATTTATATAATGTAATATTAATTTATGTCCTAACCTTAACTGCTTTGGCGGGTTCGGGTATTGTAGCAGCTTCTTTCCTAGGGTTGGACGGCTCAGATGATCTCTTGGATCCGCTGGTAGCTGGAGAAACTAATCCTGTACTATTCGCCTACCAAACACGTATTTTAAATTTAAATTAATTTAATGTTATTGTCCCGTTACGGAACCATTCCGTCGAGGTTTGTAACCGTTAGATCATCATATAACCGTCATGGATAGTTGATTTAACGATTACAACCCCGACAGAATAGTTCCGTAATGGGACCATAGAATCTCTCATGAATTGAAATCATAATTACCTTTGATGTTGTTGTTGGTGAAAATGGTTCCACATGCATGGGCTGTGAAGGGAAAATGTTCAGTGTGTGTGGCCTCATCAATATCCCTGTATTTTCTGCACCACAGTTTAATTTTAAAGTATTTTTATTTAGTTTCTATAATAAGAGTTGTGAAATTAGAATCATCTCGAGCTAACTTTAATAGTACCCCAAATAAATATATAAATAAATAAAATAATCAAATTTTCGAATGAAATTCATGTAACAAAGTTTGTTGAATGTCGTGGTCCCGGTTTTGCAGAACACGAGAACCCTTTTTTTGGAATCAAATAGGCAGAATATATATATATATATATATATATATATATATATATATTAATTTTATTTTGAGGAGGGGAAAATTGTTCTTTGTGTCCGGTAAAAAATATCAGCTAGCTGGTCAAAGGAACAGTACGAAAATCAACAAAATTGATTATTAGTGTCCTTTGCTGCAGCATACTTTCTTCATGACCCTCCGGACAACTCTTTCCCCAGCAGAATCTCAACAGAAAAATCATTAAAGTCGACTCCGAAAACAAAATACTAACTCAAATTTTCGACCTTAAACTGAAAAAATTCACTAATAATAAGATTTAGGAAGGCTTAAATTAATTAGTACAATCGAAACGATGATAATAATAATAATAATAACAATAATTTCGTTCGAGAGAAATCGAAAGATTTATTACGTTTGTCATGATCTTGAGTTGACGCATCTTGGCCATCTAGATATAAAAAGAGAGCCTGATCAAGTTCCCCTAAATCATAAGCTCCACCATCGTTGTTTCTGCATAACATATTATATACTTAAGTTAGTCACTACTTGTTGAATATATATTTTAACAAGAGATAGTAAAAAAAGAAAAGAAAAAAAAAAAGATGTAAGAAAATAAAATCTTACATGTTGAAACTTCCGGGGATGGTTGATGACGAGGGTGACTGCATCATCCCGAACTCTATTTGATTGTTGTTATTATTATTTTGATGATGATGATGATGAGTGATTTGAGTATGACGATGATGATCCATTTCTTTGTTGTTGTTGCTGTCGAATTTATTGTTTGAGGCCATGAAAGTACGAAAATTGAGGGTTATAAATATAATAAGGTTTCTCAACGATGGAAAATAAGGTTTCTCCTCGTACTCTTTTGATAGCTCTCAAGAGCTATACGCCGTTGTCATCAATTTCAACGAAACCGCCTTCTCCGTATTTTCTCTTACTTTAATACTTTTTTTTTCGAAAGAATACACTGTGGTCGCCATAATCGATATTTATATGCATACATACAAAAACGGGTGTGAGGATCGGAAGTAGAGAAGAGAGAGAAAAAGGGTTCTTTTTTTTTTAGAGAGAGAGAGAAAGAGGGTTGCAGTCGGTTATGGTGGGATGAGCTTGAGGATAGAAATGAAGAAGGGGGGAATTGAATGCAAAAGAGGCAAAAGACAAAGACTATGTTGAGGTTCCCATATTTCTTTGCAAAACAAAGACGACTTTTTGTAAAGGAAAAAATAAACAAACCCCCTCCTTTTCTTCTTTCTTTCTGTTCTTTTTCCCTCACTCTCTCTCATTAAAATAATAATAATAGGAGAATGTTACCATCCCGTTGCGGGATAGTTCCGTTGTATTTTCTAGCCATATATATACATGTAATCTAGTGATGAATAGTTAATCCAACGCTCAAAGACCAAACAAAGAAAACGAGCTAAATAGTAAATAGTAAATACAACGAGGGTCTCACAATGAGAAAGTATATATGAAGCTTTGGGATTTCCATTTTGAATTAACGTTTTGGTGTTGAACTGACTAATAAAGCCTCCGGGCTATAAACCTACCATCTAAGTTAAAAATCCTGTGAAATACTACAGTCCCGTTACAGAACCATTACGTCGGAATTTGAAATCGATCATCATGTGTAATCATCATAGATAACTGATTTAACGGTTACAAATCCCTACGGAATTGCATAGAGTCTCCCTAAAATCCACGAGTCCTCCAATGGACCTTCCAATAATTATTCTTGGTTTGAATTAAAATTCTCAATATCTTATTGATTGTCCTTTTTTCCTACTGTGTCTTTGTTAGTTCTATCTTCTATCATTGTTATTCCCATGTAAGTAATTATTTCAATGTTTGAAAATCGAAGCAGAGTGTGTGAAACTAAAAAGGTATGCAAGCGCCTGTAATAAGCATTTTAAGTCGGGTCTACCGTCTTGGCTCGAAAAATCATATGACCCAACTAACATTTTTGGTAATTCTTTAATTTTTATTAACATTTTTTTTGCATTTTTTTAATTATTTTCTACTATTTTCAATCGTTAGATCAACATGTAACTGTAAGAGGTAATTAATTTAACGGTTAGAAGCCTCGACGGAATGGTTCCGTAACATTAAAGCTACAATAAATCCCCAGAAATAGCCTTTTCAAAATTTGATTTATTCGCTCAAATGTGGAAGTGTTATTCAAGTGGAATCTAGTCTAGAGTTATATTAACCAATTATTTGTTTGCTTATAGTAAATTCATAGAAGGTTAATATTGGAATAAAATAAATGTACAGTGGAATTTGACTTGTTCGTTGGAGAAAGTCAGCCATATAATATTGAACTTTAATTAAGGACTTGATGATGGAACTGTAATTTATAATTTTGCCATCGTTTATGAGATATAACTCTACATAATCTTTTGTAACTATTTAATTGTTACCGTGTGAAAATTGAACATGACCGTTAGGGCTTGATTGTATATCAATTACTCACTTTTATTTCAACTCAAAATCTAACTCAACTTTAACTCAACCTCACTATCTTTAATATTATTCATATAATTAAATAATACAAACCAATCATTTTTATACATCACATCAACTTTAATTCACTATTCATCCACTCATATAATTTTAACTACTTATCATTTCCAATCATTTCCAATCATTTATTTCTTAATTTTACATCAAATTAATTTTAATCGTTTTATTTTAAATATTATTTTAATACATTCTTAAAATTCAACTAACAACTAACCATACCACCTTTTTCAAAATTAACTACAGTTAATCAAAATAATTCATTCTGAGCAAATTATTTCATAAACAATCAAACCCTTATTTTACTGAATCTGAACACTTTACAACTGTTACAGATATAAGAATAAATTATGGGAAAATGCTATAGTCTAATTACGAAATTATTCAATCGAGATTTGTAACCGTTAGATCATCATGTAACCGTCGTGGATAGTTGATTCAACGGTTACAAACCCTGACGAAATGGTTCCGTAACAGGACAGTAGAATCTCCCTAAATTATGATAAATATATATATATATATATATATATATATTTTTACATTACATAGTTATAAGAAAGAGTAATGTGTCACGTTAGTGAACAAGGGAGGTATATAGTAGTTAAATTGGCCAGTCACTGTCAAGAAGTTTGAGCCTTGAGGCGTAATTTAAAATGAAGGTGGATAGGCTACAAAATGAAACTATAAAAAAAGGTAGACTTTATGTGCAATAAACATTAAAATAACCTGATATGAAAAAAAATAAAATAAAAATAATAACAACAACGATTAGAATAAAGTCATAATGATTTGGATTAGGTTCGTATATACCTGTCCTGATTTTTTTTTTCTCTTGATATATGATTAGGGGAGATGTTACGGTTCCGTTAGGCGTTACGGACCATTTCGTTGAGATTTACAACCGTTAGATCAACTATCTCTGACGCTTACATAATGATCTAAGGGTTACAAATTCGACGAAATAGTTCCGTAACCGTAGTTTCCCCGTTGATCTTAACAAAATCAAAGTAATTATAATTCTAAAATAAAAAAAAAGTATACCTGTCCTGATTTTTTTTTTTTTTTT